TACTGTCTGTACATTTTGTATTGTAGTAAGCACGTTAAAGCATAATACCCATACAATAATACGTCGGCTAGAGATTTTTTACACTAAAGATGATTTTCTAGCAAATCGTCACTTATTAGCGACCTTTCGCGCCACGTCTGAGTATAACCACATAAATACTTATTGGCATAGTAGACTTGGTAAAAAAATAATTAGAAAACCTATTTGTGTTTATTGTAACATTTCATGGAAACCTACGCATCCGTAGGTATATCTGCTCCTTACATTTTGAGCAACTTCTTGCGAACTTCAAGCAATATATTGAAGTAAGTGATTATTTCCATATTCTCGTCAGAGGCGTCTCCAGACCTTCATTATGGGGGAGGAGGCGAAATAATTAAATTTAATATTAATGATTGATAAGAAAAAAAGATTGACACACTTCGCACGATGGGTGGACCACTGTTATGAATAAGAAGTTGGGAAGGTAGGATATTGAGGGAAATTTAATGCATATCTGTATCTAAGTAAAATTAAGCATTGCTAACAAAAATAATTCTGAGTTGAGCTCGGTTAGGAGTATTGATTTCTCATAGTAGAACATAAAGTAAAAAACTAGGTAGACACAAATAAATGAATTAAAAATAATCTCGTGCGGTAGGTAGTTGCCGGTCAATATTAAACATGATATTTGTATGCGTATGTATTATACAATATGTCGCGACGATGACCATGTAATAAATACATACACACACATAGGATGATATATACACATATTTATTGACGGACAAACCATCGTATATCTGTATTATACGTATTACGCCGTAACAATATCATTTCACACCATAGGCTCATAAATAGGTATCTATTATATTTGACTGTTTACTTCTCATTCCCATCACCGCATTATTATTTTGCCTACCATTATACATTTACCCTTTTATTTACACTATTTACTTTTTTTATTCTATCATAAAAATATTTATAAATTTGAACATGTACCTAATATAGATAATAGCATGTGGTAGGTATTTAAAAATTCTCAAATAATAATAATAATAATATTAAAATAATCTGAATAATAATAACTATATGTATGATAATACAAATGTTAATTAAAAGTTATAAAATTGATAAAAAAAATAAAATTATTTAAGCTCAAAGTTTGAGTTGTTCAAAAATTAATAAAAACAGTTTATATTGTACATTTTTTTTTTTTTGTTATCAAAGCTATATTTATGTATATTGATATTTTTAATTCTGAGTAGAGCGAAGAAGCTTATGGTTTTAAAAAGATGTTTAATTTTTTTTTTTTAATCTGTTAACAACTCTTCTACTAAAAGATTTGCTCAGATTTCTAAGTGTAGCCCCTTTTCTAAAAAACATTCGGTATGGGAAAATACATAAAGGAGGTTATTTTTTGATTTTCTCAAGAGTTTTCTCATCAAATTTGAAAAACCGAAAAAAATGGGAAAATATAAGAAATGAAGGTATTAATTAAAATATATTACGGTCTTCTTTTTTTCTGCGAACAACTTTTTTAATTATTTTAGTGCTTTTAATGCTGTGATCATTATTTGATCTAGAAGGGAAGGTCATACAAATTTCGGAAGTGGGCATACAAATTCATAAGAAATGCGTACTCATTTATAGTAATGAAAAAACACTGGTGCTGGAGAAACGTTTCTCTAGCACTACTCCAATTTTTTGTTTGTGGGCAAAAACTAAAGGCGTACAAATTCCTAAAATAGTTATACAAATTCATACAAATCGCAAACTAAATGTTAGCAAAAAACAATTTTTAAAAACCGTATGTGGGAGTGCTGGGGAAATGTACGTATTTTAAGTTACAGTTTTTAAAAAATTAATACATTTTTGTTAATAAATAAGAAATAATTATATTGCAGTATTTTACTGCCTTTTTATTTGAAATAAATGTAGTTAATTACCTACGTAAAATTTGGATAGTTCTATTTTTTGTCACTATAATGGTACGCGACTGATTTATAACAATAATTGAGTAGTACACAAGAAAAACCTAGAACCGTTGTTCTAATTAATCTTTAAAATTATATAGATTGCAGTATACGTAATACTGTATACACCTAACGTTGCATGTTATTCATAAATAATTTATATTTTGCCAATCAGTTACAGTAAATTGTAAATAAATTTGCCTATACATTATATATATATTATTTACTCGACGACTTGTTGTGTAGACCAACAATATAAATTATTATTGAATAATAATTTTGTACATTTTATCACACACGTTAAAAAACCGGAGTAAGTATATTGAATTAATTAATATTATTATGCGATAAACTCGTAATCAGCCAGTAAAAAAATAAATATATATATAGGTGCTAAACTAATAATTATGATTATCTGTTTTGATAACATTTTCGAACTTTAAAATTGCGAAGTATTATGCACGTAATGAACGTAATGCCATTTATCTGATACGAATAGTTTTTTTATATTTATAACGATTAATATTATTACAAAAACTGGAGAGAGATTTTATACACGTATGTACTTCTCAGTCATAGGTGGCCCTTGACTTTAATTCTAGAGAAGAGGGACAAAAATTAATCATAATTTTCAAATTTAAAATTATATATAGTGTTAAGATACTTTTTAAAAGGTGTTATACTTATCATAGGCGTGCGCAGACTTCTCAGTTAGGTATGGCTATATTCAATCTGACCAACCCCCCTGTCACGGTCACATAAGAAAAAAATTATAGTGAATTATTTTGAATTGTTTGTGATGTAATATGTCATTTGTGATTACGAATTGTCTTGCTTTTCTTTAAATATTAATTGGAATTTGATCTACTTAAATATTATCGATTGGTTTTATAATTTGGGTGCAAAATTGATCGTTATTTGGTTGTTTTTTTTATATATGTAAGGTCAATAGTCAAATTATCATTATCATTTTTAATATCAATTTTATTGGTGGGATTTCTAGGAAGAGCGTGAGTATTTTCTTTTCCTTTTTTGTATATAATATCAAAATTGAAGTCTAATTACTTTAGAGTCAGTTGGGTTATTCTAGTCATAGGTATTTTTAAATTTACGTAGTATTGCAGGATGATATTATTACAGAAGACAGTAAAATGTCCTCTCCAAAGATATTCCTCAAAATAAGCAATACCAAAACAAAGTCTAATAGTTCTAATATTGTGAAAGTGTAGGTTTTTCACTTTTAAATAATTTTTTAAAAGCTTATTCAATTGGATGTAATATATTTTCATCATCGCATTGTTCGAGGCAAGTTCCTATACCTAATAATGAAGCGTCGTCTATATTTAGGTAAACTTCTCTTTCGTCATTAAAATAGTTGAGTACGGGATTAATGATTGTAATAAATAACGATGTATACAATAGTGTATGATGTATACATCATAATTTTATTATTAGCTAGTAGTATATTATATTATTTTATATTACTGATATAATATTGTAATATCAGTATATTGTTACATCACTACAAATTTTAGATTCTGAGTGGAACAAAGGAGTTTATGGTATTACAAAGATGTAAATTTTTTTTCAATCTGTTAACAACTTTTCTACTAGAAGACTTGCTCGGATTTCTAAGTGTAGCACCTTTTCTTCTTAATCGGTCTGGGAAGGTAAGGGGTCTCATAAATTTAAAAAACCGAAAAAAACGGGAAAATGTACGAAATATATTACTAAAATATTACGATTTTTTTTCCTGTGCACAATTTTTCTACCACCAATTTTACTTCAACTTTTATTGATAGCAATTTCTATAAAAGGAAATTTCACTAGAGAGGAACTTTAGAGAGGTAATTTTTTGATTTTCTCAGGAGTTTTGAGAAAATGTGTGAAAAACTAGGATCAAACATGATAAAACCGGGAAAAACGTAGGAAAATTGGGAATATCGGTAAAACATTAAACAATTATTATTAATGAAAATATAGATGATCTATTTTATTTATTTTACTATAAAATTACATATATGATTGTTGAAAAAGCATCACTATCAACTGAACTCTCAGAATTGATTTTTCGTAAGCAATGACTTATTGTTGCTACATTAAATTATCTATAACAGTGGCTGCACCCGTTTCCATTATCATAGGATGTCTTTTTTATAACATTTTTGTGTATTTTTTTATATTCTTCATTATCAGACCGATATTGACTAATTGTTTGTTTTAACGATTTTATCAAGTTAACAGCTGTTAGAAGATCAAGTTCTCTATTTTGTAAATTTCCATTAATTTTCAATATAACTGAAAAAATAGGTTCCAGCAATTCAGGATGAATATAAAATTGAAATATTTAATTTGAAAAATTAATTCACGAGCTTTATTGCTTGCATCAAAGGGTCTGGTTGAATCATAAATTTCTTAAAAGGCCATAATAAAATCTGAATAATTAGATTTTAAGGCGAATATAGCTTTAGATCAGTAAGCTCATCTTGTTTTAGTAATTTATTTTAGCGTTACAAGTTTTACAGTTTAGTAATTTTCTCATGTATAGCATGCCAAACGCAACTACTTTCAATAAAAGCAAAAATAATCTATATGGTTACTAAAAACTAAAATACCATGTAGTTCTTTCTACCTATAAAATGAATTAAAACTAAATTTAGACAGTAGGCATAGCAGTGTATGTACATTATAGAATTATTTTTTCTTTATATTTTGCTTGAACTCCATTATTTAACCCAGATAAAGAAGCTGCACCATCGAAGCATACATCAATAATAGATGACCAATTTAAGAATAGTTATATAATTTACATAATTTAAACTGTCGGATTTAGACTGGGTGTCTGAGCATTCTTGATTAAAGCTAATAATACTTTCATCGTGTCACAAATACAAACACCATGTTATGTTCTACATGTAGATTTTCCGGATATTCAATATCCACCTCGTATACCCGCCCTATGGACGAAATGTCTAAATCCTCGAGTCCGACTAGTGTAGGTTCTACCCACTAGAAACCACCGTGGGGCACGTACTATGACATCGCCTACCCATACAAATTGTTGCCTAAAATAAACAGAAAAAAACAAAAAATTATAAGTATGTGACTGATATATATAGATATATATATATAAATATTTTTAATAATATGTATACTTACAATCCTGATTTATAATCCATGAATCTTCTTTCATTTTGTTATAGTCTTCCACCGTATAATTGTTGGCCTTCCCATATCGTTTGCTCGCCTGCACCAATCCATTGTGTATACCTATAAAATACAATTAATATAATAATAGTTAATATGTAAAAAATAAAATAAAATGTTTTACCTCTTTCGAACATCAGCAGCATATCCGTCAGAAGTTCCAGACTTATCTTGGTGTACTTAAGCATGCAGTCGAAACTAAATCCGGGTGCTTAATAATAATAGTATGCCGGGTCGAGGTTGTAGGTCATCATACAAATATCTCGGAAATTGTTAAAAACGTTGGCCAGCAGTAACACGTCAATTTCCAAATACAAATCGCTGTACTCTCCCAAAGTCCTGCATCCAAAAGTTTTTCTTCTCCGGTAATGTGTCTTCCTCCAATTTCCACCAACTGTCCGTGTACTCGTATGGGTACACACTCTTCCTTTCACTAATGGTATATTTTCGTCGTTAAATTCTTTCCGTATTTCACGGAACTTTTCGTATTCCGTGGTGATTAAGTACGATGCAAGAGACGCGAGACTCGACGTTTTGAATCGGCACGTATCAATAAATCGGACGGAAAAGATGTTGCTCAAGTACTTTGAGAACGAAATACATTTCTCCTCAGTGTTAGGTATTACGGAAATGGTTTTCACATCGTACCCCAGCTCTGTAACGATAAAATGTGAGTCGTAGTTGGTCAGATTATGGAAAAAGTACGAAACAAATTTAGGAACTTGTAATTTTAGATTACAAGTATTACACAGCGTTTGCCTAAATTTGCCCAACAGGTGGTTGTAGTCAGCGACTTTCGAGTTTGCTGTAGAAAAACCGCCGTTCTTGTTTCTTTAACCCGTAAAAATGTATAGACACGTTCAAATTATTTTCTTGAATTTTTTTTATTTCCGTTAGTGGCGTCGGGAAAGATATACCGCTAAAATCATATTTATTTTCCTATTCCAAGTATTTTTCGTTTACTCGGTAATTATTATGGTCCCCCGTTACGTATTTCGTTAGAATCGCCCATTTAAAACACTCTTCGTCCATGTTCTGTGGGTTGATGACGACCCGTTTGTTTGCGATGTCACTAGGTAGAGGGATATATGACGAACCGCCCATCGAGTGTAATTTGTATATCTCTAATAATAGACCGTCTTTCGTCTGTAGGGAGAATCCAATTCCTGGTCCCTGATAAATATCCTGTTCGGAAAGTAATTTCGTGAATTTTTGTTCTACTATGTCTTCTATATCACTATCGGATAAAATCGGCCTGGCTGAGGTCTTGAACGCTCTATTCACGGCGAAATTTTCTACTTACGGTTTATAATATGTGGCTTCCATTTTTAGATTGAATTTGATTGGATTTAATACAACTATAGATTTCAGGAGGTCTATAAGTACGGGTTTAATTGAACAGAGAAATTGTCTGTAGTTATAGAAATTATCGAGATTTTTGATACCATACAATTTTCAAGAGAAAGACGATTCGATTTTGATAAATCCCGGGGTGTTTACTATATCCATCCGTGCTTTCTTCGTTTTAGCGGCGGTTCTTCTTTGAGTATGCGTTTCCAACCCAAGGGGAACAGAAAAAAAAAACCTAAATTAAAACTAATTCCCTCGCTATTTCCTATGTGGTGGGACATAATAAAAGAAGTCTTACCTTCGTTGTCGCAAATATCCAAATAGATTTCCATAAACAGCTCGTCATTTTTCTCGTAGGTAGTCCATAGCACGGTCGAAGTCGATGATCCTACGGTATTTGATGGTCCTACGGTATTCGATGGCCCGGCCTGCGGTATAATAGTCGACAAGGTGACTTTTCCATTACGATGAATAATTTTCATGTGTTTGGCACAATTATCCTTACGCGTAAACTTTTTCGGATATAGAATGCATAGAAATTTAACTCCGTCATGAGTTTGGCGTGGCATGTCATATTACGCTTAACAGAAAAAACTTTAACGCAGCCGGCGAAGGTACATTCGAACGTATTCATTTTTAAAAATGGTATACAAATGAACAAATTTAAATAATAAGTAAATACTTGTTACAAAAAATACACACTAAAAATAATAGAAAGAAAAAGGAGAAAAAACTGAGTGAGTTGTGTGCGGATGTGTAAAATAATTACTGCTGATGATCGATCGTTCCGTCGTTGTGGTGATGGATAAATAATAGCATTTGATTATTCAAAGTAAATAACAACCGAAATGGACGATTGTTAACTTTCGTATGTATCGATTGTCATCGATAATAGATAATGGTGTATATGGGTGTGTGTGCGCGCATAATTAACGATCGTGTTGTTGTCGTAGTGTACCTGTTGATCGATGATAGCGGTTATAACAATTATATTGTCGTTGACAAAAATGTAACCTAACAGGAAAACGGTAGACAACGACGATTATATAGTATCTATGAAAATACGTATAATATTTTTGTATAAGTACTTATAATTACGATTTAGTCGAAAATAGTGTACGAGATAGTGCGGGTTGGTTAAGGTTAAGTAAATTACTTAAAAAAAATGTACACTTTATTTTTTTATTTCTATTTAATTTCTCAAAAAATTGACATCTGATATGCGTTAAATATGTAAGTTCCCAATTAAAAAATATAAGTTGGTTTCACTCACAGAATATTCCTTAATTAATGTTATGAAGAATCTAAGTATCCGAAAAAATTGACTTTAACTAAAAATTCCAAAAATCAGAATTTGAATATATTTAAAATTTAACTAAAAAAATGAGGTAAACTCGCTTAGCGAATCACTGTGTAATTATATTATAATATTGAATATTATATATTTTACAAATTCCCTGAGATTATATTGCTAATGCAACTTAATATACTAGGTCTGATGGTAGGCTCTATTTGTGTTGATTAGTCAGTGTATTTGTATACATTTGTATTTCATTTGTGTTCAGTGCTCAAATTGATCAAATCAAATAAAAGAACAAGGACTATATGACATCCAAAAAAATTAGTGTCTCTTGCAATTATTGAACTTAATCCAATCAGTGGAAGGCATAGCCCTTCAGACCTCTCACACCAATTTTCAAACATAATTCTGTAATCCATAGTTTCCGAAAACAAACACTACCTACTGCAGGTTATCTTTTGCTTACATAGTACTATGAAAGATATTATTTATTTTATAATCTAATATGATGGTTAATAGGTACTTTGATTCTTTTATGATAATGTGTTTGTTCTTTTTCTGTATGTGAACAATTTTTCTACCAGAAATCTTGTTCCAATCATCAACTATAGAGGTAATGGTTCCGAGAAAAAATTGTTGTTTATTGGTACAATAAAGAAGTTTTAAAGAAAATTGTATAAACAAAAACGGCCCAAAGACGAGTAATCGCCACGGTACCTTTCTTATATCCTTCAATGCGTTCGATTTTAAAAAAATAGTAAAGGTACACTTACATTTCTAAAAAATTAGTTGAGGTACTCCATTTTCCTGCGTCCCCCCTCAATTAAAGCACTGTTTGTATTTAATAATCCAAAAATACTTAACGTGGAGCATTAGTGTCGATTTATAAAATAAATTCCGTATAAAGAGGGTCCGTACTTTCATGTTCTGTACGTTTACGGTTAGCTTATGTACATTTTCATAATGACGGTTTACGCACTTTCCATACTTTAAGGTCCAGGACATTACATTATGTTAGTATACTTTCTGTTATCTTACTTTCCTAGATTTTACATAAGTTGTGGTTTTTAAAATTCCGTAATTTGACGGTTTGATTTGGTATAATACTTTCTGTTATTTTAAGTTCTGGAGTTTTATGGTTTGGAGGTTTCCTTCCATCTTATGACGGTTCGTTATTTTACTGTTTGGGATTAATTAAATTCCATTATTTGATGATCCGTTCGATTATTTTCTGCACATTTATGCTGCACCATCTGCAGATATATAAATTCATAAATAGATAAATAATACATTTAAAATAAAATAGATTATAATAGATTTAATAAGGCCACATCGACAATACCTTCATAATGTAACGGTATCAATGGAAATGGAAGAAAATATGTAGGTAAGAACCTAAAAAAAAGGTCTATGGTTCAATTTTTGTTTACAAAAAAATATTTTTCCGCACCATTGTTATTTTTTAACCAATTATTATTCATAGCCCATAGGTTACGTAAACTCTCCCTATAAAGTAAACAATCAATTGCATGTTAAATTGCCGTTTGTAAAAAACGATACATCGCTAATAATGTGAATTAATACGCATTGAAACACCGTCGTCTATGTTATTTTTTCTACACGGTATATAGGCAAGGGGTAATTATTTCAATTGTTTCGAAAAGTGTAAAGTACTGTGTATAAAATAATTTGGTTGCAGTTAAAATAGGTGAAACGCACGGTATTTCTTTCGTTGGCCAATCGATCAATATGATGTGATTATTATTGTTGTGTTATCAATAACGGGTGCACTTAATTTTTTTTAACATCAACTTATGTACTAATACTTTTTCTATTCTTGCGTTGTACTTGATAGAATAGACAAAATATTAATAAAAACGACTGTAACACGAATCTTAACAATTTATTATACATTAATGCTATGTTATTACTCAGAAGAAAAGAGTATCTGTCCCTAAATTATCAGAAAAGACATGTCAGGCTATTGATCAGCTGCGAATATAAACAGTTGGTACTTACACAAAATTAGTAATTTGGCAGCACTGTAACGTTAAAACAGATTATTTTAGCAGTCACCGATGAACAACGATAGTAAACCGCGGTACCGTAGACCTATGCTATCAAATTAAACAAACGTTACACGAAGAGAGGAAATAAGAAAACCAATAACGTATCACAGGCTTCGCGCTCCACTGGGTAATTCAAACAGCTGATTATTATTTGCACAACCGCCACGCAATTTATTGTGCCCGAGAAGGGAGAAATACTCCATTGTTTAATTTTTTTCACACAGACGCACAGCCACACACAGACAAGGACACTCACATACATATACACACACTCGAGTGCACAAACGCACACACAAGCGCGCGAGTGTTTTCACAATCACACATACACCGATTTACAACACACTGTCTTCTATAAGTATACTCATTACGCGATACTAAGTTATCATCAATTTTTGGCTTTCCGGTTGTCATTCTTTCAGTTTTCTGTTATAAGTATTTTTACAATCGTTTAAAACGTTAACATACGCATTTTTCACTGTAGTATATTGTTGATTATAGTCGTGTATCGGATTGTGTAAGTGACGGTCACTCGATTATGCGTTATTGATCTTGCCAAGTGACGTTCGGGGTTCGCGCGTCCATTGCTATGGATGTTTATGTTAACGTACCCGACTTATCCGGCATTTGTATACATCGTTAAAATTACTATATCGTATAACAAATAGATATTTAACATTATCGTTTTACCGCAATACAGTATTCTGTTAAAACTACTATGACAATGTGAATTTCGTTCATTCGTTCTCGGCAAGCCGTCATCGTTTAATGAGGTCATATATTCCCTCCTAGCATTTCCCATTGCCTATCAGCCACGATTTTGGAAGTATAATTTTTATTTTTTGTGTAATAAACATTTAAATTTCACGTTAATTTTAGTATAGACCAGTTTTGTGAGCATCCACTTTATTCGGCTCCCGTCGCTATTTTTTACGTTTGATACATGTACCCAAGTGCTTGTAGTTAAAATCTTGTCGCCAGACAATTTTAATTCACCGATTTTGTCATCATGGAACCTTATGAAAGGCGCGATACGGATGGTAATCATTTCTGCGTTACTAAATGATTTTGCTGATTTTAACTATTTTTTTAAATTTTTTATTATCAAGGAGAAGATTACATGCGTGCCATGGAAGCCACAAGAAAACATTTGCCGAATTTGCGAAAGATAATTGATAAGTGGAAATATTTAAATATTCAGAAGCAACATGCGGAAATGTTAATAGCTTTGTATAAAATGCTAGACACAAAAGAGTAAGTATACTAAGTTATTTATTTCCTATGTTAGTATTCTGAAATTTTGATGTTTTTATCGTTGTGGTTCAACATTTTTAAATTCTTCAAGATTAATCTAGCCCGTTTTTCTTGGTTTTTACGAATGATGTTTGTAGTGCAATGAGCGTAATAATTGGTTTCTTTTCAATGAAAAATAAAACTGCAATAAAAATTACACGTTTACTTGATTAACTAAAAGTATGGTTAATAATCTGGTTAATATTATATCTAAATATACACATAATTTAGAGGAATGAAATTTAACATTTTTTTTTTTGTCATTGTACTGATTATTTAGTTATGTAAAGGTTTTGTATTTAGTATATTTAATTCTTTGCACAATATTCATTAAATTATAAAATCTAAAAAATAAATGATTACTTTTCTTTTTAATGTATTAATATAACAAAGTTAATCTTAATTTATTATTAAAATCAGTGTTTATAGTTTGAAGCTTGTACACTGTTTAAAGTAAATTCATAATGTACATATATTTTTTTGTAATTATTTAAACCACATGCTCTAAATTTATATTTATGAAATTTGTTTATAAAAACCTTATGATGTTAAAACCTTATTAAACTACAAAAATTTGGTATTGCAATAATGAAAAATACAATAAGTAAATTTTATTGAATTTAATATTAAACTTCAATGAAAACATTTAAATGAAAACAAATTAACATTCAATTACATATAACTTTGTTAGTAGAACCTAATCTAGTTTGGTTTTTATAATTTAAAGTTTTAAATTTAATCAACTATAACACATTTCATTGTTATATCTTTCTTATATTCACTTGCTTATTATCTTTGTTGATGTGCAGTACTGATTTTGCTGAGGATTCCGAACAAAAAAAATTATTTTGTTAGAGTGAAATAATTCACTTTTGTTACAGAACTAATCCCTTTTTTTACTTCTCAAGTTTGTTATAAAATATCACTTTCAATTTCTTTTTGTTCTCAAATGTAATTTTGTAAATGTTTGGTTTTTTTCAATATTGTTTACCTCAATTATTGAAAGTCTATTGTGTAAACTTAGTTCTGTTTCGAATCCCTTAGTAATACAGGTACTACAATATTTACCATATTTGAAGATACGAATTAAATTTATAAGTATAAATATTATTTATATAAGTAACAACTTAATTGGTATGTATAAAAACACTGATTTTAAAAATGAATTAATATAATTTTAATTTTATTAACATATTAAAAAGAAAAAAAATAGATTATATTACAGATTAAAATATTTAATAAATCATGTGCTTATGAATAAAATATAATACATATAATCCTTCATCTAACAAAGTAATGAGAACAATGAAAAAGGACGAACTGGAATAATGGGCACAGGTGCAGCTATTGTTATGGGTAATATAATATTTACCTGTAAGCAATAAAAAACCATTGCTTACGAAAAACGATTCTGAGCGGAGTTCAGTTGATAGTGATGCATTGTCAATAATATACATACACACCATATTGTAGTAAAATAATTAAATAGGCTTTATATATTTTCTTTAATTATATTTACTTAATATTGTACTGATTTTCCAGTTTTCCTAAGTTTTCCCAGTGTTCCCAAATTTCATCTAATTTTTCATGACCAGTATTGATTTTTGTAGGGATTCTGAACAAAATAAATTTTGTCCACTTTGTTACAGAAATAATCACTTTTTTTTTACTTCTCAGGTTTGTTCTAGATTACCACTTTCAATTTCTCTTTGTTCTCAAATGTAATATTACAATTATTTGGTTTGTTTAATATTGTTTACCTCAATTATTGAAAGTCTATTATGTAAACTTAATTCTGTTTTGAATCCCTTAATAATGTAGGTACTACAATATTTACCATATTTGAAGATAAGAATTAAATTTATGTATAAATAGTATTTATACAAGTACCAAATAAATTAGTATGTATATAAACATTGATTTTAAAAAATAATTAATTAGTTAACTATTAAACTATTAGAAACATTGCTGTCATTGATAATTGGAGCAAATTTGCTGGTAGAAAAGATGTCCCCAGGATAAAAGAAGGGTGTAATATATTTTAATTATACCTACATATCTTATATTTTCCACAGTCTTTTTTACAGTGTATTAAATTTAATGAGAACACTTCTGAGAATATCGAAAAATGAAATCTTTAAGGGAGCCCTGCATCGATTACCTCACAGAAAAGGTGCTATACACAAAAACTGGATAGGATTTCTGGTAGTAAGGTTGGATTCCCTCAGAATCTAAAAAAAAGAAATGTTAAATTTTGGAATGAAAAGCACAACTACTATTGGGTGGTTTCTGGTTAATAATATATCTAAATATATACATAATTTAGAAGAATAAAATTTATCATTTTTTTATTTTTTTTTTTATTTTTTTGTCATTGTATTGATTACCTAGTTATGTAAAGATTTTGTAATTAATATTACTTTATTCTTTACACAATATTAATTAAATTTGGTAATTTAAATTAAATAAGTTAATTCGTGATTAAATCGATATACGTTTTCGAAATCTCGATTTTAATACAGACATCTGCTAAAGCAATTTGATGATTTAGATGATTTTCTTTTCATCACAAAATATTTTTCAGAGAAATTGAAGACACGGTTTACTAATTTTTTCCAGTATAGAAAATAGTTCTTCTTTTTCCCTTAATCAATCCTTTTAATATTATTATATGGCATATGATGTTTATGTATTTATACAAAATTTAATTTTTTTTTTAGGTTGTCACTATCCAAACTTTTAACCTCTGAAAAATTTATAATAAAATTGTCAAACAACTATCACAAATTTCTTGAGGAAGAGGTAAACTATTTTACTCCAAATAAAAAATGTACTGTTAATTTAGCATTATTCATTGTTTAAGTATGCATTTACGTATGTTGAATATATTTAATTTAATATAGATCTACTGGGTTTAATGTGATACACAAATTTGTTTATATTAGAGATGAGCATTATCAAAACCGTTATCATATTTATAATGTTTTTTTTTAAATATTTAAAATTCTATTTTTTATAAGTAAAATTTTACATTAACTTCAAAATTTTTCATACTAAACAAATCACATTTCTTTTTCCAGTGCACATTGGATGCTAAGAATACAAATAAATTGGATGGGTGTGAAAACAAAACTAAGTACATTCTAAATTTTATATCGTATTCATCTAATATTTTATAAAATACTTGCAATTTTTTTTTTTTAGTAGTTCATCAGAAATAAATTTGACAATGAAAAAAATTGATCTAAATCTAGATAGTATGTGGGACATTCCTAATAATAATATGGCCACATCAAGTAATACTGACAATTTTACTCATAATTATCAACTTAAGAGTGTTGATTATGATTTCAAAAGAAAGAAGGAAGGAATTAACAAAGATAAAGATGCAACGCTACCTGAATTTTCAGATAGTCGTTTACAGGTTAATGAACTTATTGGTTTAGAAGCCATAGAAAAATTAGATACAGCTGATGAATCCATCTCAAATACATTATCGCTACACTCTCAACCACAATTTATTGTTAGTTCAGTATTAAGTAAATCATCTACTGTCCCTGATAAATTAAATACTGACATAAATGTATTTCATAAAATTGGCTCTTCAAATGATCCTAAACAAAAGTTAATTACTCCTTTAAAACCAGACACTCTAATTGATCATACAAATTCAAAATTGACTCGTGCTTCATTACTCATGGAATCTATAAGATCAGTTGTTCCATCAAACAATAAGAATACTGATGATAAACGGTTTCAGCGACCTGATAATGGTTCTCAACATGACTCATTGTCTGTTTATAATGGACAAACTAGCCAAAAAGCCAAATATGGCAAAGGAAAATATTCCAACTACAGCGATAGAATAGATCAAAAAGAAAAAGTTGGCCAATGTATGTTAAATTTGGAAAATCAAAAATTCAAAAGTTCAAATAGAACTAATGCCAAAGAATCAACTTCTAGTTTTGGTGTTAAAAATAGTACAGATAAAATAATAAACTGTAAAATACCAATAATTAAACATATAGAAGAATTGATTGAACAGAACACGAAAAAAAATATGACAGAAACAGTGATAATTAAAAATAATTTCAAAATAAATTCTCTTACTGACACAATTGAAGACAATGCCTTGAAAAAATCCTCTGCAACAGAAATAATTACCAATTGTAAAATAGAAAAAAAGTTAAAAACCGGAACAATTAATGATGATGATAAAATAGAATCAGGCAATGATAAGAGTCATGAAATTAGTCTTAAGAAGTCAGTTATAAATATAGATAATAAGGACGAAAAAAAAATTGCCAAAAAACAATGTCATATTATTAAAGAATCGACTAGGGCGAAAAAAATCAAAATGTGTTCTGAAGAAACGGAAGTTGAAAAAATTGTTAAAGAAGCTTCGAGTTTAAAAGAAGATACTTGTGGCCCAAAAATCAGAACAAGAAGTTCTCTAAAGAAAATCGGAGAACCTCTAAAAGAGGTTGTGCCGAATAAAAAAAGGATATGTTTGGATATAAGAGAACATAGTGAAAATATTGAATACGTTGAGAATGTTAATACTGAGCAAGATGTTATTTTGTCTACATCAATAGAAGAATCTGAAGGAGTTACTCCAATCAAAAGGGAGTGTACAAATTTTGAAGAAAGTATTGTGTCTTCTAATGAGTTAAGTTCCACAGTTGACACGAGAACGAATCCAATATATCTCAGTTCTAAAGTTGATTTGCAAAATCCTGGAATATTGACTATATTTGAGTTACTTCGGGACGAACAAAAACAGTTAAAATTAAAGGAGTTTTTAAATGCAACAGACACAAAAAATATCAGAGATGATGAACCGAAATGTAAAAATGTGTCAAGCGAAGAACATTCTCATTTCGAGCACAACAAATTGAAAGAGAAGAAGGGAAGAAAACTTGACAAGAATAATACTATTGTTGTTAAAAATTCATCAAACAATCAAGAGAGTAAAAATGCATTATTGAATACATGTTTAGATAATGATTTTAACAAAGGAAGTATGGTAATTGAAAACTCTAATTCTGGAATTAATTTTGACCATTCATCAACTAGTCAAGGTAAAGTTAAATTAAGCAAACAAAAAAAATTAAAAAAAAATTACGGAAATTTTAAAATAAAAAATAAAAACTTACCCGATAATGAAATTCAAGATTTAAAAGTTGTTATTACAAGATGCGATAAAAATAGTAGTTTTACGGATAAAAATGATCAATTCAAGATCAGACCTAATTATGAAATTATTTCCAAAGAAAAATCAAACAAATCAAATTGTAAACTAAAAAATAAAAAAATAAAAACTAATGAGATTGAAGAAAAAGATGTTCCGTCTGTTTTGGCGAAACCCCAGAAAAAAGATCCTATAAACGAAAATCCTACACTGGGAATATCAACTTTACAAGATCAATATAACACTATTGACCAAAGTTCAGAAAAAATGACTACACTTCAGTCCAATGTTAACAATACAACTGTTAGGAAAAGGACCAAACGCTATATTACTGAATTAGAAAAACTCCGACTTGGCGCTGGTCAAGCGTATGGTTCTGATGATGTGTTACATGAACGTAGGATTCGAAAATGTAGACAAAATAAAAAAATCGATTATTGTTACACTAATACTGTAGTATTATCCGAAAAAAATTATAGTTCCACTATTGAACAATTAGATGATCAAGCTAATATATCTATTAGTAATAATAAAAAATCCAAAACTTTTAAAAAACAAACAAAGAATAAAAAAAAAACTATTCAAGTGAAAACTTTAAAAGCTTTAACACCAGAAGATTTTAAGGACAAATTATATTTTCAAACTGTTGATAACAAGTTGGAATGCAAATTATGCAGTTATAATGATATAGGACTAAAAATCGTTCGCCATTATAAAGAAGATCATTCTGTGGAAGAAATGTTACCATCCAGGTTATCTGTAGACACCGCTGAAATATTGATAAATGAATCCGTGAAAGAAAATTTTGGAATTTTAAATGTTCTCGATTTAAAGCCATTAAGTGATGTGGTGCTTGTCAACATCACTTTGACATGTGTTTTTTGTTACTCTATCTTTTATGATATTACGTGCTTTTATGATCATATTACTTGTCACACTGGTGAATATAGATATAATTGTAAAGTGTGCAAAATGACTTACCCCAACGTACTTGAGTTAGACAAACATATTTCAGAGCATACTAATTATGATAAATCTGGAGGAATTTTCCACTTATCGCAATCAAATCCAGTCGGAAGTAATACAATTTTTGGTTATTTATGCCCGTTTTGTTATTACATACAACTTGATTATCAAAGAACACTTAACCATATGATAGAACGACATTTCAATGAAGATAAAAAGTTGAATAGCTATTGGACTATCATACGAGTTAATATGTCTATTGGAGATGATAAATACACAAATTCCATAGTGGATTATAGCAATTTGGTTGGATGTTTACCTCTTATCTTAAATGATAAAGTTATTTTAAAAGACGAAAATCAAACACAAAAAACTGGTGTTTCTACAATAGTTGTGAAAAATAAACAGGCAATGAAAAACGCAGGATCTTCAGGGATACATTTGTACAATGAAGTTGAAGTACATTTGCCAAAGTTAAATATAAATTCATTGGTAAATAAAATTCGAGGTGAGTAATTTATTATTTAAAATGCAAACCAGGGATTTTATATTTATAAATTTAAAATATGATATTATTGTTTTGTTAGCTTGTAATGAGAAATTCACTGCTATA